TATAACTTTTGTAATTTTTATCGGCGCGTTTTCGGACCTTTTCTCAAACTTTCTAGGCAAAAATACGAATCGAATGACACCTTGGTCGTAATTTTTGGACAGGGCTGAAAAATGTCACCAAAAAGAGCTAAATCGAGTACATGTAAACCAGACTATTATGCCGATTCACAGTTCCATTTTTATGAACAATCGCCTCATCAGAAAATAACACGAAATCGACAAAAAAATTCTAAAACAAAAAACCTTTCAGAGCGCTAAAAAAATATGGAATCGAAAGACGTATTCACGATACTGGGTGTTCTATTTAAAAAATATTACTTTGCTTGTCCACGCTCGGCTGAATTACCCAGTATGCGGGAAAATGATGAAAAATAGTATTTATTGGATATGAATTGATAAGAAAGAAAATTGAGCAGTTCAAAAAATGTTCGCCTCTGATAGCAATGGACCGAGGGAATCTTGTTGACTCACCCTGTATATTCAAAAACCATATAGAACTCAATAAGTTGGGATATTTCAACTAATATTTTTTTAAAGTTGTGAAGTTGAAAAAAACTGAGATATTATTTTGAGAACAGAAATAAATTCCAACAATATGTCATACATGAGAGGTCTCATCTGAACTTATGAAGTTTACATTGATAGAATGCAGGTGGAGGGAATATTGAAACTCATTCGTCTGCTCTTTTGGTTAAGTCAAATAAATGTATATTTTTCCATTATCCATTGTCACTTTGAATTTGACACCCTACAAATCATTTTCAGTTGTATCTGCCAGTCACAAATGAATTATATGTGGACAGAACGGGCATAAGTGTTTTTGATCACTATGTCCAAATTATAATGACTGGGCAATTCAGAGAATTTGATTATGGAACTGTAAAAAATATTCGTGTATATGGACAAATCATTCCTCCCAGTTACCAACTTTCAAATATTAAAGTACCAATAGCTCTGTTCGTTGGAAAAAATGACTTGCTAGCATCTCCTGGGGTAAGTTCTTTTCATAAACTACATTTTTGAAGTACAGTAACGTATGTATACTTCTACAAAAAATTCATCTTCGACGGAAATGCTCATCTGACCTATTTTTTCTAGGATGCCACTGTTCTCTCCGTCCGGTTAGGGTCTTCTCTTTGTGGATTGACTTTTATATCTTATCCAATATGGAACCACATTGATTTTTTAACAGCCAAAGATATGAACCTATATTTGAATACTCCAGTCCTTGCTAAAGTTGCGCAAATGGAACAAGGACTTTGCTAGAGTCAAGAATTGATATTTATGGTACTCTTGTGAGAAACTATGGATTCTTCCTCATACAATAACTATAGTCGTTTCAATAAGTCATGTGTCGATAGTGAGTTTTTGATTTGGCGTTTTGATATATCACCTTTATTTGTTTATTAATATGGATAACCAAAAATAATAACAATAAAACACTTCAAATCCTATTTACCTGAATCCTCAAACCATTCGTTCAAGAAAATATCAGAGCGGAATCAGATTGATAAATTATCAGTTCACTTCTATAAAGCAAAATGATGTTTTTTTATTCTGATTGATTCGGCCATTACTTGATGAAGATCTATAGTGATTTCAAAAACTACACCTCACAATTTGATCTCCTCAAACTTCATTTGAAAAATATATCACAACATATATCTTGTAAAGGCATAGATATGTGAATGACGTTTTGGTATGACGTTTGGCAACGATATTGTGTTCAAAAATTTTGATTACAGCTATCGAATCATAATTTCTTTTTCAGTGCAAGTGGTGCCGCATTTATTCTTATCCTTTCCGATAATCATCTGATGTAGGAAAGTGCAAGCACTGATTGTGACAGCTTCTCTTCCTTGCGAGGCTCCTGCTGTCTTTAAGCCAGAGTTGGAGTAGCCATTCCATTTTTAATGATGTCTTGTTTCTTCTCGAGACCTTCTTTCGTATTACAGAGCCCGAAAGTACATTATCATTTTTCTTTTAGTCGATTGATGGTGGTTGGATTCGTGGTTCAGATACAGTCCCGTGTGAGTGAGATTTCGGTATACAGATGTTTCCCACTTAATGTCGGTCCTCTTCAGCAATACGTCTAAAAAGGGAAATTCTTTTTGGACTTCCTTCTCCATTGTGGAAGTGTTGGGAGGTCTTACGCTGTTGATGTGTTTCAGGAAGGCGTCTAATTCATTATTCCTATGGTTCCATATTAAGGAGGTGACGTCAACGTATCTCAACCAGACACGAGGTTTCTTGTGGGTTTCTTCAATGGCCAGAGTTTCAAACCACTCCATATAAATGTTGGCTGTGACTGGGGAAACAATCGATCCCATTGGCAGTCTCTCATCTTCTGTAAATAATTCGTCCTTCAGTTGGAAATAACAGTTTCGAACTTGGCATCCTAGTGATTCCATAATTACTTCTATAAATAAATTCGTTCTATCTTTCAGGTCTCCGTCTTCGGATAGCTTCCTCTGTATGATTTCTAGTGCTTCTTCTACCAGAAAGTTGGTGTGAAGGCTTTTCCCGTCGAAACAGATTGGTTGATTTTCCTGTGTGACTTTAAATGCCCCTCGTAGTTCGACAAAATGCTTTGAGATCTTCACAAAAGACAATGTTTTTCCTTGTAATGGTTGTATTATGGGGAGTAAAAATCTAGTAAAAATCTAAAGAACGAATTCATGGCTTGGCATCAAATAAACCCGATTAGTTTATACATCTGTTCATTACGAAATATTACTGATTTGCCCAATATGATTCTCAAAATTCATCTATGAATTGTGTTAAACTTTTCCAAGTGATTGTCATTCACACCACTCCAACCTATGATGCCGTAGTTGAGCTGTGTTTGGACAAAGGCGTAGTTTATCTGTTTAAAATCTGTTTTTCCGTTAACCAGCTGTCGCACCCCTACGAACGACAACCCTCAGAAGTCGAAACTTGTGCGAGCTGAGGATTAACGAGGTCTTACCTTTTAACGTGTGATTCCTAACACGTAGTATTTTGAGATGTTTTATATCCAGGAAATTTTTCATATATTTGGATATAAAAAGCATTCCTCTCAACTTCTTCACTACTTGTTTATTTGTAGGTCCTATTTCAGATGTCGATCAATTACGATGCCTTAATATTTGATTGTTTCAACCTGGGAATCTGGATATTTTGACCGATCATCAGAGGTTCCATATCAAGAAATCTGTTTGAGTATGTAGCCAATGGTAAATATTTTGTTTTTTTGACAACGCCGCAATGGAAATCAAACGAAAAATTCTTTAGAGAGCTGAAAAATATGGTATCGAATGACAAATGGGTATTCTATTTAAAAAAATATAACATTAGTTGGCCACGTTCGTTGAATCACCCAGTATGCGAGAAAATGATTTTGAAAGATGAAATTCATTGACATGACTGCAACAAAAATTGAGCAATTCAAAAAATTGTTTCCTCTGATAGCAATGAACTGAGGGAATCTTGTTGACTAACCCTGTACTTACAATTCAAAATTATTAAAAACCGTGAGAGAAATGAACGACAGTGTTGAATAAATCAATTTATTTTCTCAGAGAGTATAGAGGTTGTTTGGTTTTTGAATATCTTGATGTTTTTCTTCTAAATAATATCCGACTCAATTCCATTAAAAATATTTGAAGTACAAACTGAACAGGAATGGGTAATTTTCGTATAACTTCATGTTCATGATTGAGTATGTGTTTCAAAAGGGATTTTTCCACTCTGTAACTGAAAGTAACTTCTATGCATGATCTAACCATCTTTGCAAAGAGTTAATTTTGAACTCGAAGGTTTTATTTCTCCTTTTGAAAGTTTTTCACATTTTTTTTTGAAGATAGAAAAGTGGAGAATCGAAAAGATTTTTTCCAAATATTTCTCTTTCCTGTGCTCAAATCCGTGTCTAGAAAAAATGGTTTTACTTTTGTCTAATCTTGTCCAATTCATGAAATCGAAACTTTCATCAACAAACGAGAAAAAAAATTATGAAACAATGAGAAAAAAAAACATTTGTGAAATTTCCTCAACCGCAAAACACAATTTTCATTAGGAACTATGTCTCAGTAAGGATTCATAAATGAATTTTAAAACCGCATAACTCGCGAATCGCGATGTTTCAAATTATTTAATTAAGTCAGAGGTCCAATAAACTACCTGGCAATTTCTTTCCATCTAGCAAACAAGAAAATAATGAAAATGCAAAACGTTATTTCATGGTTCGGTGAGACAGACTCAAGAAATTGTCGTTTAGTTGGATTCCTTCTCGACACTAGTCGGGAACGGTATGTCTAATGAAATTAAATTAAAATNACCAGATATTTTTCTCGAGAGAATTTATCTGGTTGAAGCTGGAATGATTCTGCAACCGTGTTAGGAATCACACGTTAAAAGGTAAGACCTCGTTAGTCCTCGCACAAGTTTCTCAACTTCTGAGAGTTGTCGTTCGTATGGTGGCGACAGCTGATGAACGGAAAACAGATTTTAAACAGATTGTTCCTGTATCGATGATGAAGCACAGCAAAAACAACGCCGATTAGGTAATTCACGATCATGGAACGAATTGCTGTAGTGTTGGAGTGCTTTTACGCTATTTTTATGGCAAACCAGTAGGATTCTAACATATTACATTTTTTTTATGGAAAACACTAAAACGTTTATATAAATACAGCTCATATTTCAGAATAACATTTCAGAATAAAATTGATACAATTGTCGTTCAAAGTGTTTAATATAGATAAACCCTGTCGTTTACACTAAGTAATTCAAACGAATCGTTCAACAACACGATAAGATTAACTTGACGCAACACAGTAAGCCATTACGCGTCGCGTCTACTGTAAGACGACAGGGAAAGACGCGCGAGGGAAGAGATGCGGTCTAAGCAATGAAGCGTCATCGCCCAGAATGCGACCCGAACACGGGCAGATGCATGAGGGCAAACGTCGTTGACGGTTGTGTTGATTTTGCGAATTTCTTTGAAGATGACATATTTCGATTCTCGAAGCTATTCACTACTCAGTGCAATTGGCATATTTTTTCAGTTATTGTGTTACAGTTGAGTGTTTCATCTTGTAATGTTATCCAGATTGGTATTGAAGAAGCAATAAGCAATATCCACCAGTGAGAATGATAATAAACGACTTTATTGCTTACATACATAGAACAAAGCCCAAAGCAAAAGGCGAAGTTCAGTTTATAATATGATATAAAATCAACTCATAAACTGTTCTTCCACTTAACCTCAAGTACATCGCTAGGTGTGTTGAACTTAACAATATAACAGAATTGAAAAAGAAAAAAAAAAGAAAGTTAAATAATTAAAGCTATTTCTAATATAATTTCCATCGTACGATATCAGGACTGCATTGAAAACAAGTGTTTCTTGTAGGCCTTTTTGAATCCTTGCAAACTGTAAGATTTGAACATGGTAGGGACCTGATTGTATATTGAACATATTTGATAAGTATAACTACGCCTGAATATTTCTAATCTGAATATTGGCGGTGAAAGGGTTCCTTTACATCGGACATTTAGATTATGTGTATCGGATCGATAGGTGATTTTTCTGTGCAAATATGAGGGTGTTTTATCGAAAATAATTTTTTAAAAAAGAACAGCAGCCTGTAATCTCCTTCTATCACTCATATTTAGCCAACCATTATCTTTTAATTTGTGTGAAATATGTTCTCTTCTGCGGATACCAAATAATAATCGTAAGCATGAGTTCTGTACTTTTTGTATTTTCGATTGATATTGGCTGGACAATAGTACATCTGCATAATTAAATACGGACAGTATTATTGACTCACACATATTTAATTTAATTTGAAAATGAAGGAAATATCTATTGCCATATATAGTTTTAAGAGTGAGGTATGCACGTTGAATAAGCTGATTTATGTATTTTTCAAATTTTAAATTGGAGTCCAATATTATACCTAAACTTTTGGCTTCACTTACGTTTTGAAGTACTTCATTTTTTATTACAATATTTACACTATCAGAAATCTCATCTCTTTTGTTNATCAGCAATGATACCTGTTGCGTGGATAACTCCCCTTTCGACAACCCAGTTAGATGAGGTAATAATACCATTAAGTAAGGTAGCAGTAGTAGCTGTGATTCTTGTAGGAGTTTCTATGATTTGACCAATACCAAAGCACTCTAAAACAGATGACATTTTATTTACATAACGATCATCAGTATTTAGAAAATCTATGTTAAGATATCCGCCGCATATGATTTCATCTGCAGTAGGATGTATTCAACTTAGTATATCTCCCAATTCAGCTATGAAAAGATTATTATTTAGTTTTGGAGGCTTGTATATTGCACCAAGAGCAATAGTTCTACTTTTAATTTTTATATTCACCCAGAGTTGTTTCGATACCTTTCCACGATGATTCAATTCTTCGCTATATATCCTATTATTTACGTAAATACACAAACC